GATAGCTGGCCAATCAGAGCACACCTCGCTTTTCAGACCGATGAGCTTTGTAAAAATCGACGCGTCTCAGAAAGGCGGGGCATAGAGGAGAAACAATAATGTACAGCATGTGGAAAATAATTTGTTTTTTTTTACCTTAAACCGCATAAACACATTTCATTACACCAAATACACAAAATAATGTTCTTTTTAGCAACATCATATCACCCCTTTAATTCACCTTTAAAACATCAAATGTATGACTAACTAAACTGCATAGATTCATTGCTGGTTCATAAATTCTTTGGACAGCTTTCATGTATTTGCTTTCAAATTATGAGATGACAAAAAGAATAATATACAATTCAGCTCTGCCAAAATATTACTATTTTGCACACTTGTGTTCTTTAGATCCAGTACCCATGTGGAGGCACCTAGCCTAAAAATCATCATCAAAGAGATGGAGGAACTGAAGAGTCATCTTACCCACATCAACTCCCCAGTAGTACTATGTCATAATGACCTCCTGACTAAAAATGTAATCTATAACCAAGAAGAAGGTGACTAACATTTATTAGAATAGTCGATTTGTTTTAATTATGCCTTTCTTTAGATGTAAATTGAGGTTTTGGCCACATGAAAGAGGTCTGCTACTGGACTCAAGACCAAAAACCTGCAAAAACCACATGCTGTCTCTCTTGCTCTCTCTCTCTCTCTTTCTCTCTCTCTTTCTCTCTCTCTCTCTCTCTCTCTCTCTCTCTCTCTCTCTCTCGCTCTCTCTTTCACACACACACACTGAGGTCTTAGCTAGCTGGGTGAGGGATTTCAAATTCTTATTATTTGCCAACTTACAGCCTTGCAGACCTCTATTATGTCAAGTCAAGTCAAGTCACCTTTATTTATATAGCGCTTTTAACAATACAGATTGTGTCAAAGCAACTGAACAGCATTAATTAGGAAAATAGTGTCAATAATGCAAAATGACAATAGTAAACACAAATTTTTCAGTTAAAGACAGTTCATCATTGAATTCAGTGATGTCAACATCCAGCTCAGTTTAAATAGTATCTTTGCAATCAAGTCAACGTTATCGCTGGAAATGAAGTGTCCCCAACTAAGCAAGCCAGAGGCGACAGCGGCAAGGAACCAAAACTCCATCGGTGACAGAATGGAGAAAAAACCTTGGGAGAAACCAGGCTCAGTCGGGGGGCCAGTTCTCCTCTGACCAGACGAACCAGCAGTACAGAAAAATCTATTTAAGACGTAATAAAACAGACGATGAACACTATTAACAGCAATTATTATATGATGCAATCAAACTTATAGCAAAATGTGGTAGTTCTGTATGTTGTCGATATAATTAAATCTAGCGTATGATTAAAACGATGAGTGGGCCCGGTGACGTTTTGCTTGACTCCAAAAGAGTTTATTAGGTCAGTAAACGCAAGTCCTAATGCATCATTTGTATTATCAACGTGAATGTTAAAATCTCCGACAATTAGCGCTTTATCAACAGTAACCAATAGGTCTGAGAGGAAATCTGCAAATTCTTTTAGGAAATCTGTATACGGCCCTGGTGGTCTATACACAGTAGCCAGAGCAAGAGATACGATAGATTTCTTTTGCATATCTGACAGTGTAACATTAAGCATTAGTATTTCGAATGAGTTAAACCTGTATCCTGTCTTCTGAGTAACATTGAGAATATCACTATATATTGTTGCAACACCGCCGCCACGACCAGTCTGACGGGGCTCATGCTTATAACAGTAGTGTGGTGGAGTAGACTCATTTAGACCAATATAATCATTAGGTTTTAGCCAGGTTTCAGTCAAGCAGAGTACATCAAAACGATTATCTATGTGAATTACATTCAGTATGTGAATGTAATTGAAATTCGTCTGTTCTGAAACATACAATATTCTAAACAATCTAGTTAATTCTATTGTGTAGGCATAATAACTTTTCAGTTATGACAACTCATGGAACTATACTGCTGCTGTACAAAGCAAATACAGGCACTTCCTACTGCTAAGATATGCTTCGACATTCTGCTCTGAACTTGTCAGGCATGATGATGCAGCCACAAAATATTCATAATTCCACTGTAATTAGATCTAGACAGGTGGTGCTGGGGAGGAAGTAGGAGTTTCAGAGAGAAGACTCAGCAGTGATTACTGACTTACAGCAAAGACTGGAGCAAAAGTTACAGATATAGGGAGCACACAAGCTCAATGGCTGAAAGAATACATATGGCCATTCTGTATGCAAAGTGATTAACTGGAAGATTGCATACCAATATCATGAATTTCATGACTGTATTTCAAGCCACTTTAATTTGTGCATAACATATTGTGTTCAATTAATGTTTATAGCAGATATTTTGGTGCATTTAGTTGTACTGATGAAATGTGAAACCATAATACATAATACAATCCCTCCAGGATTTTGTGATTCTTCGATCAGTGCAAAAATGCAAAATCAAACAAACTTACCATAATTTGGAAGAACTTGCAATTTTTCTAAATTGCCACAGATTTCCCACATAGTTTGGGCATAGACTCATTGTGTGATCACAATTTCTGTTTACGCCGTTGCTTCTGCATGGCATTTGCTCCCACTGTACAGCACGCATTATCTCTGACACACACATGCACAGAAGCGTGCGCACTCTGAATGACATATTTTCTATTAACCAGTGGTGCTTTTCCCAAAAGCAACTATGGTCGCAAGTTCTGTCATTACCAATAGAGTTCAATGGAACTTACGACCATAGTTAGCTAACGATGCTTGTGGGAAACGCACCCCAGATCAATTAATCAATTAACCAGATCAATGCCTATATGCCACATTAAAGAGGATCGCATATTCTGAACAACACCAACACAGACAAGGAATTAAAAAAAAAATATAATATTAATCACGTAAGCTTGAAATAATGCAGTAATAGTCAGGGTTTTTGTTTGTTTGATTTTAGACAAAATTTAAAAGACAAAAAAAAGCCATGTTTTTTTTTTTCTGTCATACTTGATACACCAGTTTTTATTCAGAGACCCAAACTGACCAAAATTTTATTCATATGGCAAAAAATGTAAATTAATGTGATTTTTATAATAGTATACAATTCAGGATGCCTACAAAGATGATTGCAAGATGAACAAATAAATGTTCTTCAAATGCCTGTTGTATCATTATTTGGTACAATTTAACATGATTTTTTTTACTATTACTAGTGCTAATAATTGTATTAGAGATTTTTCACCAAAGTTTGGGTCATATTATTAATTTAAAATCTTTAGAAATCCATGTATAAATTATGATATAGTAGGCTTTATAGGGTAAGAAGACAACGCTTAAGTTTCTCGTTTTGTTTCTCTAAGTGTTCTCTTTTTAACAATTAGCCCAATGGTTCTTGAGGTCAGAAAATAAATAATGTTAGAACAATGTTGTCTGTGCTATTTTTTTTTCTCACTGCAAAACAACACAAGAAATCCTGTAATTATTGCCACAAATTTTGAGAAAAGCTGCCGCAAACTCAATTATTTTAGGTCTCAAAAAAAAAAAAAAAAAGCCCCACGAAATCCTGGAGGAACCAATTATATACTGAATGATTTTGACACTCATTAGTGCATTGCATTTTATTTCATTGTGTCTTGTACTGTTTTCCATAGACTCATAATAACTTTTTTCCCCCTGATTGTAGGCGCAGTAAAATTCATTGACTATGAATATGCAGATTTTAATTACCAAGCATATGATATTGGAAACCATTTCAATGAATTTGCAGGTACAAATAAAAATAAAAAGTAACGATAACCAACATTAAAAGATATGACTTTTACTACTGTCTATCTAACACACTAAGAGATCATTTGTCTTTGAATTTTGAGGTATTAATAATGTTGACTCCAGCCTGTACCCTAGCTGTGAACTTCAGTTTGATTGGCTTACTGCTTATCTGGAGAGTTTCAAGTGGTTCAATGGCATGGATTCAACTGTGACCAAGAAAGAAGTCCTGGAACTTTATGCACAGGTCTGCAAGTTCTCCTTGGTGAGTATTTTGGGAAGGCCAGTTGTGAAGTTGGCAAAATATAAATGTCAAACAGTGACAGAAAATGTTGCATGAATGTACAATATGAAACCTAAAATCCTGAATACCCAGTATTGTGGTCTGTCACAGAATGTACTGGAAAAGATAATGAGGGTGGCTCATGATGTCCTTTCTTTGTAGTAGGCCTAAATGTGGACTGAGCAAGAAATTTTCCATTTATCATCTTCAATTGGCAACATGCTGTCTCACCACTGTTCCCTGCAATGAGCTGATCCTCTGAGGGGCCTGAGGCCTCATTTATAACCGTCGCGTACGTACAAAACCTGCCCTGAAAGAGATATACCACACTTCTACGCAAAAGGTGGGATTTATAAAAAACAAACTTGATGGGAAAATTTGCACACCTGCATTGAACTGTGACCCATGCGTACGGACTTTTTTTCCTGGAGAAAGAAATGTAATGAAGTAAACAATGATTTTAAACTGTTTTCATTTCATCATATACATTTACATTAATTATTCCACTCTCATTAATGGAGATAAGCACTGAAATTACATAAAGTCATTGCGCAGAAGTTAAACCAAAATGATAATGAATTTAGACAGCCTATTTGTAGTGGATGCGCTTGATTACTTTTCCTTTGGTATGTTATGTTTTAATGACAGCGAGGAGAGCTATAGGTGCACAATAATTTATCTTTAAAGTAAACTGCACATCTCATGTTATGAGAAAATATTTTTAGCGAGGGATAATTTTAGCGATATTGTGGCAGACACTGCTGGATTCGGTGGAACGGTCTATTGTCCGGTTTGAATAGGACCAATGATAATAGCTTACTGTACAACCACAGCTGCACGGAAGTGTTGATGTCGTGTGAAGACATCTCCACAACATTATGAAAAATATCACTGTATTTGAAGAATACAACTTGAAGAAAACGGTAAGATTTGCACGTTTCCTTTTTTAAAATACTTTGTCAATGACGCGGAGTCAGATAATTGTATTTACACTGCAATAAATATAGGCCTATATTTTTCCACTAAAAAAAAATAACTAAAAGATGTTAACCTTATCAGCAAAACTGCATTCATTTAATTTAATTAGAATTTTTTAAAACAATTGAAATATTGAGCCAGTTGAAATGCATGAGATCAACTCCATTCTAAATTATTTTTCTGAGAACTATTTTGAACAGTTTTTTAGGAATACTTTGATATATTTATTCTAAAACATAAGGATACTGGATGATTTTAAGCAATAAAAATGCATGTGTATGGCACAAATGGCATTTATAGTCCGTATCTCATATTTCCTTAATGTCTTTTATCTTTGACGGTGTTAAACATGGTGTCACATGGATGGGAATATGCATGGAAATGATATGCAGATGAGGTTATGCATAGTAAAACTAGGCATTGTAAGCTGTGCCTAGTGCCTAGAGTCGGGGTGGAGACGCACGTACGCACAATCTTCCCCTGACTGGGATTTATACATTTTTTTGCACAGGTTCTGGCTTACGCATGGTTTTATAAATCTGAAAACTTGAGCGTATGCAAAATCTAGCTTTTGTGCCTACGTACACTTTTAGGATGAAATCTACGAGAGTTTTATCTTTATTGATTTTTATTACTTTATTAATTTTCTCACTCCAGGAAAAGGAGTTTGTACGCATGGGTCAGAGTTTGCGTGCATGCGCACAAATTTTCTAGTCAAGTTTGTTTTTATAAATCCCAAGTTTTGCGTAGGAAGTGGCTGCGCAAAAACGTAGACTACAGATACGTTTGTATCCATAATAAACTTGTTTTTTTTAATGATAATTCAGGGTTATTGTCTGCAGTTTGTGTTAACGTCATCAGCAGAAAGGGAGTCATCTCAGAGTTTAGAGAAAGAAATAACCGCTTTATTGAACAATAGAACAATTTAAAAAGTGCTGCTGGGACTTTGCCATTCCCAAGAGAGGGGGAGGTCTCGGTCTAATTCTGGATCTATGAAATACCAGAAAACACCTCAGAAAGAACAAAGTTCAAAATGTTAATGCTCAAAACCATTCTTTGGAATGGATACTGAGAGAACTTTATGTCAGGCGATCACATTTAACTGGCACACAGTATCACGGACCGTGTGGAGAGATGAGACGAGGACTCAAAGATGCAGTAATCGGGCTCTTTATTAATAATAAAAATCATCAAACCTAACAAAAAGCTACCCCAAGGGGAAAAACCAGCAGGAAGGCCAGAACAGGGCACAGCTCGGCAAGGCGAGGGAAGGCCACACAGAAACAGGCAGATCAGGCTAAAACAAGAAGCACACAGACACATTAGACCACATATGACAAATAATGAAACAGCACAGGACTGCAAACACATGAGACCAAGTAGGGCAGGTAACGAGGGAGACACAGGTGGAATAACTGAAACAATGAGGTAACAAGATGGGCAGGGTCAGACAATCGACAGAAGAAAGCACATGTCACCAAACAAACACAACACAAGTCATGTGCTTACACAAACACAGTGTCCTCTGGTGGCCATCCTGGGCACACCAGCTGAAGACTGTGACAGAACCCCCTCTCTAAGGAGCGGATTCCAGACGCTCCACAGTCCGAGGCACAAAACAAGAGTCAAGGAGGGTGGTGGTGGAGGTGGAACAGGGGTAGGGATGGTGGGCCAGGCCAGTGGGGTGGGAGAGGGCCTGGAGTCTGTGGCAGAGCAAGTGACCAGGACGGGACCGGAGGGACTGAACAATGAGGCTCCGACCAAACAGCAACTCTGGCGAGTGACCAGGGCAGAGCCGGGAGCTGGGCAGGCAGCAAGGGCAGAGCTGATGAACACTTCTGTGGAGTTGACAAGGCAGATGACCCCCCCCGGTGGCTCAGGCAGGACTGCAATGAAGAGCACAGAGAGGTTATTAACAGCCTTGATGGCCGTAACTGGACTGGCAGAAAGTTCAACAACCGTCTCCTTGGCTGGGACAAGACAGACTGAGAGTTCAGGAGTGGGCGCCACCGCCCAGAGAGGAGCTGAAGTAGATGCTGCCACCTCAGGAGGTTCTGCAACAGAAGTCGCCACCTCGGGGGGAACTGGAGCAGGCTCTGGAGTGGACTCTGAAGGCTCCTGGACTGGAGCGGGCTCCCGAACTGGAGTGGGTTCATGAGCGGACTCTGAGGGCTCCCGGACTGGAGCAGACTCTGGAGTGGACTCTGAGGGCTCCCGGACTGGAGCAGGCTCTAGAGTGGAGTCTGAATGCTCCCATGCACGCAGAACAGTCCAGAACAGTTCTTGACTATGGCAGCAGCAGTGAAATTGGGCGGCTCTGTGATGACCTCCGAGACCCCCAGAGTCGGGTCCGCCAAGACCACCAGACTAGAGACCACCAAAGTCGGATCCTCCAGGACCACCAGACTCGGGACCACCAGAGTTGGGCCCTCCAGGACCACCGGACTTGTGACCACCAGAGTCAGGTCCTCCAGGACCACCGGACTTGGGACCACCAGAGTCAGATCCTCCAGGACCACCAGAACTGAGCCCACCAGAGTCGGGTCCTCCAGGACCACCAGCCGTGGTAATGGAGTAGGAGCTCTCCTCCTCCTCCAAGAACGAGGCAAACCGGCGGGAAGAACAGGGAGAGGAACCCACTCCTCCTGCAGCAGTTGCCTCTCCATTAGCTGGCAACAGTAGTCGACCACCTCCCAAAAAGTGCAGGCTTTTGAATCCCCCAGCTCCTCAATCAACAGCGTCATCCAGTCCAGCGAGAAAGGCATGTATGAGGGTGCACTCACTAAAGCCTAGCCCCTCGGTTTCATCAAGGAGGGCTTGAGCATATACCCCAAAAGGGCGATAGTTCTGGTGGCATAGTAGCAGTCCTCTGGCCAAGGGTAGGTCCTTGGAGATGGTCTCCTGCTCGATGGGAGCCGGAAACAAAAATATGCCCATCTTCTGCTGAATCTTCTAATGGCTTCTTCGTTCTGTCACGGACCGTGTGGAGAGATGAGGCGAGGACTCAAAGATGCAATAATCGGAAACAAAAGCTACCCCAAGGGGGAAAAACCGGCAGGAAGGCCAAAACAGGGCACAGCATGGCAAGGCGAGGGAAGACCACACAGGAACAGGCAGAGCAGGCTAAAAGCACATAGACACATTAGACCACATACGACAAATAATGAAAGAGCACAGAACTTCTTTCCAGTTGAACAGCAGTTGGCATCCAGCTTATTGGTGCATTACCGCCCCCTTCTGCTCTGGAGTGTGGATCAGATAATGTGTTAGTTTTAGTAGGAAAAGGGAATAGATAACATCACTCACATTGCCCCCTCACATTAATATCCACACAGACATCACACATCAAATCCTGCCTAAAACCCCTGATTCCCTTAAAAAAAGTAATCAATATTCTGCTCTGTGCCCTATTTACTGTGCTTAGTAACCCTTGTAATGTGATCTCCTGCACCCCAATCTCCCTTAGTTTATTCTTCATTACCTGCCTCTGTGTTTCATATCTCTTACAAGTCATGATTATGTGCTCCACTGACTCCTCTTCTCGACATCCCTCACACAACCCTGTCTGGTGCTTCCGTATCATCTTTAGCGTTTTTTTCAGTGAACAATGTCCCAACCTTAACCTAGTCATCACCGCATATTCTCTCCTATTTCCAATTTCCACCCTTTCCTCTTTAACATTTCTCTGAATTTGATATAAATGCCTCCCTTTCTCCTCTCTTTCCCACCTCTCTTGCCACCTTTTATTGATTTTCTCCCATACTATGCATTTAACCTCTGCCTTACTTACATTAACCTGCATTTCTCAGTTCTCTTTTGTTAGTGCCATTTTAGCTAGCCTGTCCGCCATCTCATTACCCCTAATCCCAACATGTTCTGGGACCCACATATATCTTACCTGATATCCCTTATTAACTATTCTTGTGTTTAATTGTAGCACTTCATACAGGATATCTTGCCGAGCTTTTGAATGGAATGACCTTAAACTCGCTAAAACTGATAAA